GTTACACTACGTTCTCATAATTTAAAATTAATAATTTCACAACTATATTTAACATAGAACATGTAAACATTAACAGTCAATCAATTATAGTCAATTAACAGTTAAGGAGTTTTTTTATTAACCATCATAATATTATTTGCGTCAACTATAACTTATCCTAAAATCATAACTCATATTATTATTCAATAGCCACAAACTACTAAAACATCAACGGACCTGAAACACAGCCTCACACCTTGATCGCTTATTATTACCACAAGCTACTAAAACATCATCGATCAAAATACAACCTCACTTCCCGATCAAAGCGGTGGTCTTCTGCCACGCCTTTAAGAAGTGAACATCATTGATCAACTCCTTTAAGAAGTGAACTTCAGGCTTTTGTGTTGACCTATAATTTGAAATCTACAAATTTAGAGTAGAAGATTGTCCCCTTTAATTATACAGGGTTTTTCTGCAAGTTTACTTATTTTTCCTGATTCTTTCCTCAGGTGATGCGGAGAAGTGCTGAGGGGAGGCTGGCGGTCAGATCTGGAGGAGGTTGGGGCGGGTCTGAGCAGGAGGCCGGAGAAGTGCTGAGGGGAGGCTGGCGGTCAGATCTGGAGGAGGTTGGGGCGGGTCTGAGCAGGAGGCGACTGAGGTGAGCGGAGGAGTTGAGGAGTGTGGGATGGAGGTTGGGCGGCGGTGTAGGAGGGAGGAGAAGGTGGTGACGGCGGCGGTGTGTAGGGGCTGGCGGTTGAGTTGGAGGGGAGGTGGTGGAGCAGGGAAGAGAGCTGGGCGGAGTGATAGTGTGAGAGATCTGAGAGAGAGGAGGAAGAAGGAGAAGATGTGGAGAAGAAGAGGGGTATTTTGGGGTTTTTTGGAATTTGTTTTCTTGGAAATTGAAAATGGGGCTGATTCACATGGCTTTTTCAATTTTGGGGAAAAAGCACATTAGAAAAAGTTCAAGGAGCTGGAACACATCAACAATTTAGTTTTGGGGCCTTGAAGCAATTTTTCCAAAAAACTAACATATTAAGACATTTTCTCAGTTACATTAAATATTCTTACCCTTGGAAGTTTTTCATGCGATTAGGATATTAAATCTTTTATAAGTTCGTTGATGCCATTGTCATATTTATCACTATACTTACTCTCCATCATTTTATTAAGTTCTATGGAGAAGTTTTTATTTATCATATGTTGATGTCGGTTATCAAACAGAGGATTTACGTGAGGATTATGAGAGTGTTATGACCTCAGACTCCTTTAGATCGCCGGTTCTGGGGTTAACTACTCCTCCCTGCACGTAAAAAGCTTGTATGAGGACGGAGTTGAGACCTCCAGCTGTTCCTCCGATAATCAAGTCAGTAATTGATCTTTAGTGGAAAATTATAGAGTTAGTTCTTAGTAACATAAAAAGGCCAGAGAGCGTTACCTTACGCAGTGTCGCTCCTTTTATAAGGGGTTTGAGGGGTAAGTAGGTAACTTGGGCCGAGTCTAGTTAGTCAACCGAGTCGGCTTCTTTAGTAATTTAGCGGGTGCGTCGACTTCTTTATGAAGATTAATATTTAGTAATTTAGGGGTTATAACAAGGGATTATAGCATTATAATTTTATTATATTTTAACAGCGGACAACTTAGATATTTATATGCTAATTTTTTTATACAACTTATGTTATTGAAGTGTAAATATTGCGACACAATAGGGTATTTATGTGCCATTTAGTCATAATAAATGAGTAAATACACTTTCAATAATATCTAATATCCTGTTAATTACACGTAGTGTATATATATATACGTATAGGATTCTTTACATATTCAGCCTCCTACATTTTGGATTAAATAGACAGTATAGATCTTGTCGATTATGACATGGGTAGGAACATCGCTAGCTCTATGCCGAAGCGTCTCGACGGCACATGAGTTGGAGACATTACTATCCAGAACTTGCGGGATTTTCTGATAGTAGTAATAGTGTTCTGATGGTATTAATACTATTCATTCTCGATATCGCTCAACTCCTTTAGCGTTAAAAGTTAACCTAATAAGAGCGGTAGCTAATTACAAAGGGGATTTGATGTCATGATACGCTTGGCCGTCAAAGTCGTCCTTCATCTCGTAGCCAGCATAATAAAGGCGGAAATAAGGACGGAGATGAATAGGGAGCTTTAATTAAGTAGTTTAGAACTCCACAAGGACCAAACCCGATTCTGCTGTGTCTGATCCTGCCTCTCTTGCACCCAGACCCGACCTCCTCCTTTTGTTTTGTTTTTTTTCACCTGCCGTTTCTTTCTCTTTTGTGTGAGTGTAAAGAACGGTGTGCAAAACTAAAAGCGAAACCCACTTTTGTTTCGACCTCGCGTACCATGACTATATTATCATACATCGAAGCCACTTACTAACCAACGCTTTCCTCTTGTTTGTTATATCCTTCGAACCCTTCTCATGTTAATCTCAAAGCTGTGTCTCCCTTTTCCTGTTCACATGAATAAAAGCCTCTCAGCGTGTTAACCAGAAGATACATACATAATAAACAAGCATCTCCTCTCCTCCTTCGATCCCTTATCCACCCATCTATCTTTTTTCCTCGCATTTTAAAAATAAATTAAACCCCGTTGCAGTAGATTAACGGGTCGATTCTCTCTGCTACTCTCCGATGATCTCCCCCTCCCAAATTTCGCACGCAAAGTATCGCTAGCACTCATACGTAACAAGAGGTTAACACTGTTGGGTAAAGACAACAGAACGCGGCCCTCTCGTCTTTTATTCTCTCAATCCTCTTTGCCATAGCTATAGAGACAAAAGAAAGGAAAAAGAATAAAATATAAAGCACCCACCGATAATTAAAAATGATATCGTGAAGGCCCTTTACCACTGCTCACCGCGTTTTAGTGCATGTACGTGCATGGTCTTGGCGTACGCTCGGTGAGGTGGTGGGCGGTTTCAGCCCGACAAGTGCTGGCATCAACGCTTGTCGCCCTCTTGCCGTCGCCTGCTCTCTCCTTCAATCTCGCCAACGACCCTTATCCTGAAACATCGCTTCGTCGCCGCGACTCCCTCCGAAGCTCCTCGTCCCTCCTCCTCTTCTCTGGTCGGTGCAGCGCGGGCGCCTCGAGTGGGGCCATCACGCCTCTTCTCCTCTCCACCATCCCAACACCTAGCATGGCATCCCTGCTCCAGGGAATGTACGGGCGCCGGACTCGGCGGCACCCACATGGAACGGTCGCGTCCATCCAGATGCACGTATGGTACACCATCAATGCTCTTCCTTTCGAGTACAAGGGCGGAGCCAGGCTCCATTCATCGCCGAGGCAGTTACTCGACGGCCGCGCTCATCGCTCTTCCAGGTGACTTTCGACAATCGGTCTCTCTCGACGGGCAAGGAGATGCTGCACGACCGACGCGGAGGTCGGGGCGACGGCAAGGCTCCACGTCACGCGTCAGGAAGTCCACTGCAGCTCCCGCTCCGAATCATGTCGCGCAGGTCCTCGCAGAACGGGCCCAACTCGGCCGCGACAAGCCGGAGGGGACAGGGGGGATGTCGGCGACCAATGCTGACCCTCGCCTAGTCGAACCGTCACAAGCCGAGTTTACTCGCTCGTCGGTCGGGAACCGACCCGAGGGGGGTCGAGCCTTAACACGCTGACGTTGCAGCACCCTTGTGCGGCACGCGGGAGGGTCTAATTTTCGCAGCGTACCTGGACTCGAAGAGACGCAGCAAGAGCGAAGCTGAAGACGCAAGGGAGGGAGCTCCAGTTTTGTTTGAGCTCGAGCCGCTTCGCCGTTCGAAACGCAGGGATCCGGGTGTTCAGAGCGGCGGCGGGGAACGGGCGAGGCTGGGACGGGTGAGCGAGAAGGCCAATGATGGTAGTTACGACGAGTTCAGGCTTCCGCAGCAGGACCCTTGGCCCCAGGCTCACGGCGAGTGCATCGGCGGGTCGAATTCCGCGAGGCTCCACGCCCAAAGCGCTTTTAGTGCATGTACGTGCATGGTCTTGGCGTACGCTCGGTGAGGTGGTGGGCGGTTTCAGCCCGACAAGTGCTGGCATCAACGCTTGTCGCCCTCTTGCCGTCGCCTGCTCTCTCCTTCAATCTCGCCAACGACCCTTATCCTGAAACATCGCTTCGTCGCCGCGACTCCCTCCGAAGCTCCTCGTCCCTCCTCCTCTTCTCTGGTCGGTGCAGCGCGGGCGCCTCGAGTGGGGCCATCACGCCTCTTCTCCTCTCCACCATCCCAACACCTAGCATGGCATCCCTGCTCCAGGGAATGTACGGGCGCCGGACTCGGCGGCACCCACATGGAACGGTCGCGTCCATCCAGATGCACGTATGGTACACCATCAATGCTCTTCCTTTCGAGTACAAGGGCGGAGCCAGGCTCCATTCATCGCCGAGGCAGTTACTCGACGGCCGCGCTCATCGCTCTTCCAGGTGACTTTCGACAATCGGTCTCTCTCGACGGGCAAGGAGATGCTGCACGACCGACGCGGAGGTCGGGGCGACGGCAAGGCTCCACGTCACGCGTCAGGAAGTCCACTGCAGCTCCCGCTCCGAATCATGTCGCGCAGGTCCTCGCAGAACGGGCCCAACTCGGCCGCGACAAGCCGGAGGGGACAGGGGGGATGTCGGCGACCAATGCTGACCCTCGCCTAGTCGAACCGTCACAAGCCGAGTTTACTCGCTCGTCGGTCGGGAACCGACCCGAGGGGGGTCGAGCCTTAACACGCTGACGTTGCAGCACCCTTGTGCGGCACGCGGGAGGGTCTAATTTTCGCAGCGTACCTGGACTCGAAGAGACGCAGCAAGAGCGAAGCTGAAGACGCAAGGGAGGGAGCTCCAGTTTTGTTTGAGCTCGAGCCGCTTCGCCGTTCGAAACGCAGGGATCCGGGTGTTCAGAGCGGCGGCGGGGAACGGGCGAGGCTGGGACGGGTGAGCGAGAAGGCCAATGATGGTAGTTACGACGAGTTCAGGCTTCCGCAGCAGGACCCTTGGCCCCAGGCTCACGGCGAGTGCATCGGGCCGGGTCGAATTCCACGGCGGAGCTCCACCCCAAAGAGTCGATGATGATGGATCCACCCCCAATATCGATGATGCCGCCCGCCAGCGTGATGACCAGGCTCATACTGATCATGGTGTGGAGGAAGCTCATTCGGAATCCCAACACTTACTCCAGCCTCCTTGGTCTCATTTGGTCTCTCGTTTCCTTCAGGTCTGGGCGGCTTAATTGACACCCGATTAATCCTTTTCCTTTTCTTGTTTTTGTTTTTTTTTTAATAATTAATCCCGAGTTCTAGAGTGGTTAGTGTTGATGATGTTTCTTAGGTGGGGGATCGAAATGCCGGCTATTATCGCCCGTTCCATTGCGATACTCTCCGACGCAGGGCTAGGCATGGCTATGTTCAGCCTCGGTACGTAGGGGTGCACATGCATTTAATTTCACTGCTTCCTCAAAAGAGCTGAGGATTAAAATAGTATTATTAACGTGGGTTTTTGGTGATATGGTGGTGACGCAGGGCTGTTTATGGCGTTGCAACCCAGGATCATCGCTTGTGGAAACTCAATCGCTGCTTTTGCGATGGCTGTTAGATTTATCACCGGGCCAGCTGTGATGGCCGCGGCCTCCTTCGCTGTGGGGTTAAAAGGAGTTCTGTTGCATATTGCCGTTGTTCAGGTATTATTATTATTATTATCATTTTTTGTTTGAGGTGTTGCATCTAATTAATTTGCTGTTCCTTTTATTATCGTGCTTTTCATTCATTGAGATTGATTGGGTTGCTTTTTGTTTCGTCTTGTGCGTTTGTGTGTTTGTATTTGCAGGCAGCTCTGCCCCAAGGAATTGTTCCCTTCGTCTTTGCAAAGGAGTACAATGTTCATCCTGACATTCTGAGCACAGGGTTAGACCCCACGCCCTTCCTACCCCGCCAAACTATTTTTTATTTTTTATTTCTTCAAAATTTCCCTTTTATTAGTCGTTCTATTAAAATGTCTGCAGGGTTATCTTTGGTATGCTAATAGCTCTCCCTGTCACTCTGGTTTACTACATTCTCTTGGGACTCTGAAGAAAAAAAGCTTTGAGGGGTCTTCAGGATGTGATGCTACTTTTTCATCTTTAATTTGCTCGTCTGATAGAAATTAGGTGAAGAATTTTTTTGGTAGATTAAATTACGTGATGAAGCTTAACATAGGCTATTGGTGGACGGTGGTCAAATTGTGGGCGGGGCGGGGTTATAAATGCTGTACTGATTTTTGGCATTGACGGAAAATCTAACTCCGATTATCTATTTAATTGGATTTATTTAGTACGTTGGGTTTTCTTCACCGCTATCTTGGACAAGTGTTTCGTTGGACGATTCTCTATTTCACGGGCGGTAGCCCGAATGTCTTCGACGAAGGTGTTCCTATAGATTATTAACTAATAAAGCAAAATAAGAGCAAACGAATATCATATAGATAAAGGCTCTGTTCTTACAGATTAACCAAAGTGATGCAACGCCATAGCCTGCCTAGATCAGGGGACGATGATGGTCAAATTGTGGGCAGTTAAAATATACAGATTTTTATTAAGCTCCGGTTACGTATTTTAACGGATTATTATGTTGAACTCTCCTAAAGAGCTGCCTTGGATTTTTATTATTAATACCGGCAATAACCAAAATGTCCAACCAACAAACCATGGTTCTTACGAAGCTACAGAGAAATAAGAAGAAACAAATAGTTACGGGTAAAAGCCTTCGCTCTACTGGTTATGACGGTGGAGTTAAAACTTTGTTTCAAGGAAAAGTCTTAAACCGCGCAAAATTAACTCGAGCGATTGGGTGTAGGTGTGGGTGGGTCCAGATTATTAACAGTGTCGATCGTAGGGAATGACTACGATTGATTGGTTACGTGGGTTTATACTATTGGTTCGTTTTAGTAGATCCCACAGTCAGAAAAAAGCACTTCATATTTTATGGCGTTCAACCTGAGAAGATTTAATTAGTGAACTGTAAAGATTCTCCATAATCAAGGATGCAGAGGACGTGAAGGCAGGAAAATCCCTGCTGAATACCCCAAGTTCGAAGCCCCATTCACCCACTCAACCATTTCCTATTAGCGAGTTACTCGGGATTTTACTTGGTCAAAATGAGTTTTCTTACTAGAATAACAAGAAGGCAGAAGAGTTACTGGAGAAATCCGACCGTATTTGATAATGCACTTGTTATATGCACGAATGTACCTAGATCCCTGTAGGCTGTCTAAAAATCACAATAGATAGCTTATCTTCCATCAAACCCCGATGATGGAAGTTACAATCTGACGACTTTCAGAAGGCTACAGTTTGAAGACTTTCACGTAGATTGCTGAAGGTTACAATCTGACGACCTTCACGACAACCGATGAGAGCTCTAGTTCAACAGCATTCACAATCAACATCGGGAGTTACAATCTGACGACTCTCATATTCTCAAGGAGCCAAGACGAAGATTACAAGACAATGATCTTTGCAACGCTATGACAAAAGACATTACTTGGTGATAATCTCTTCAAGACAAGACGCGGAGGTCCTCCCCGTGTGTCAACAGCAAAACGCGAGGATCGAACCCGCGTATCAACACCAAAACGCGGAGGTCCTCCCCGTGTGTCAACAGTAAAACGCCAGGGTCGAACCCGCGTTACAACATCAAAACGCCAGGGTCGAACCCGCGTTACAACATCAAAACGTCATGGTCGAACCCGCGTTACAACAAGCGAAACGTGAGCGAGACTCGCGTTCTGGATGTTCAGTCAACACCTAACCTCGCGTCTCAATCCTAAGACGCGAGGTTAGGGTCCTGAACGCCAGGTTGGGCGTTTGACTCATTCAAATATGAGTCGAACGGTTTTAAAACCGTTTTCCCCACGATCTGAGGAAATCACGTCCACTCAGGAGCGGATTAAGGGGGCAGTTACCACCCTTAATCCCCTATAAAAGCGAGTAAACTCAACTGAGTTCAAGGTTCGATAAATCAACTCTTTTTCAAGAGTTAAAACTCGTTCAGAGTTATCAACTCGTTCAGAGTTCTAAAACTTGCCACGCAAGTTCTCCACAACGTCAAATCGTGAGGAGAAGACATCGTTCCAGTGAATCAAGACGTGCGGATCGTCAACGGAGAGCAAACTCGACGCGAGCATTCGAGGGAGGCACTCCATCGTCACCGTGAAGAACCCAGTTTTAAACAAAGGGGAGAATCAAATTCATTCTCCTCTCTTTTGTAATCAAATTGTAACCGGGATCGAAGGAATACAAGTCAAGTTTTTTTTATTCTCTTCATTGCAATTTTTCCAACAAACAATCCCCAATTAAATACTCATCATCAAGTATGGAGAATTTCCGATTCGACACAGGATCTTATTGTGTAGAATAGAATAAAATGGCACATGAGTTTCAGGGAGAGGCTAAAGGCTAGAATAAAAGAACTCAAATAGTAAGATGTCAAAATAAACAAATTTCTGTTGGGGATTCGAAATAATCAAATCAAATCCGTACCCTTCCGAATATTGTGTTTGAGAGTTGAGCAAGAAAGAAATTAACCACAAATCAAAGATAAAAACTTGTAGGAAAGTAAACAAGAAAGAACACACCAGATTTAATGAGGTTCGACAACGTGCCTACGTCCTCGGGAGCCACACCACACAATTCTTTGATTACTTGAAGAAGATTACAATGTTTGCAATTCACCTCACTCTCTAAGATTTCTAACCTCAAAAAGCCCTCAAAACCCTCTTTTTTGTGCTCTTTTTTCTCTTAAACCCTAAAGTGACGTGTTTCTATTTATAACAAAACACAGTCCCAAACAATTTAGGATTCTAAAACGAGTCTGCCACACCCTAATGTGGCGCAGACCACACCCATGACAGACAGGACAGACTCTGCCACACCCTGGTGTGACGCAAACCACACCCATGGCAGACAGGGCAGACTCTGCCACACCCTGGTGTGGCGCAGACCACACCCATGATCTGTCTTGAATTTTCATGTGATTGTTGATTTTGATTCTAGGTTTGGGTCTCCACTTTCAAGACCAACAATCTCCCATTTGGAGATCAAACATCCATCAATGAGCTCTCCCGAACTCCGCCTTCTCGCAAACATCTTCTCTTACTTGAAAAATCCATTCTTCAATCATTAACATCCAGGCGATCTCGCCGATCCTCGTAGTGTGGCTCCGTCTCCGTCTTCGTCTTCTACTCGTGAATGCCAACTGAAGTTGCGCACAACTTCAGTTTCTCAATGGTGACTGCCTTCGTTAACATGTCCGTCGGATTTTGACTCCCCAAAATTTTTATCAAATGTAACTTTTCGTCTTCAATTAGCGAGCGTATAAAATGGTATTTAACGTCGATGTGCTTCGTTCTGGCATGATATATTGGATTCTTAGCAAGATGTATAACGCTCTGACTATCACAATAAAGAACTCCTCTCCCTTGCTTCAGATCCAACTCTTCCAAGCACCCGTTCAACCAGATCATCTCCTTGCTTGCTTCAGTCACCGCGACATACTCAGCTTCGGTTGTAGACAAAGTCACAATCTTCTGCAGACGTGAGACCCAGTTCACTGCTGTTGACGCTAAGGTATAAACATACGCCGTGGTGCTTCTTCTCGTATCATGATCACCGGCGAAGTCCGCATTCACGTATCCCTGTAGCACCAACTCCTTCCTCCTGAAACATAATGGCTTGTTCGTTGTCCCTCTCAAATACTGCATTATCCACTTCACGGCCTCCCAATGCTGCTTCCCTGGATTGCTTACAAATCTGCTCAGAACTCCCACTGCATGGGCGATGTCCGGCATCGTGCAAACCATCGCGTACATGAGACTCCTAATGACCGAAGAATATGACACCCTGCTCATATGCTCTCTATCTGCATCTGTCTTAGACGATTGCTCCTCAGATAGCTTGAACTGACTTCCAAGGGGTGTGCTAATAACTTTAGCATTATGCATGTTGAACCTCTGAAGTACCTTCTCAATGTATTCAGCTTGGCTCAATCTTAATGTCCCTTCAGCTTCATCCCTACTGATTCGCATCCCTAGAATCTGCTTCGCTGCATGCAGATCCTTCATTGCAAACTCCTTTGCTAGCTGCTTCTTCAAACTGTTTATCTTCTCTAAACATGGTCCTGCTACCAACATGTCATCAACATATAATAACAAAATAATGAAGTTGGACTCGAACCTTTTGAAATAACAGCAATGATCTGAATTGCATCTTCTGTAGTCATTATTCTGCATGAAGTTATCAAACTTCTTATACCACTGTCTCGGAGACTGTTTCAAACCATATAAGCTCTTCTTGAGTTTGCACACCATTTCTTCCTTTCCTTCTTCGATGAAACCAACAGGCTGCTTCATGTAGATTTCTTTATCTAAGTCACCATGAAGAAAGACAGTCTTCACATCTAACTGCTCAAGAAAGAGGTTTTTTGTAGCCACCAAACTCAACACCACTCTGATGGTTGTGAGTTTCACAATAGGGGAAAATATCTCCGTGTAGTCCACTCCTTCCCGCTGTTGAAACCCCTTCACTACTAATCTGGCATTGAATCTCTTGCTTCCATCACTCTCCTGCTTGACCCGATAGACCCATTTATCATGTAAGGCTTTTTTCTGTACAGGTAGCTGGGCTAACTCCCATGTCTCATTAGTGAGTAGAGAATCCATCTCTTCCTGCATAGCATGCTTCCACTGTTGAGATTCACTCACTTGCATTGCCTCTTCCTAGCATTCTGGCTCATCGCTATCTGTCAATAATAGGTAGTCAAGAGATGAAAGATATCTGAGATTTGGTTTGGGTACCCTGGATGACCTCCTAAGCTTCACGTCCTGGGTAGTTTCTTCTGCACCTGGAGCCTTCTCCATTCTCTGATCAGAACAAACATCATCACCCCTATCTGGAAGTTCCTCTAAATTCATGTACTCAGATCCACCTGTATCCGTAGTGGTACTCCCACTGCTTTGGTTATCCTTGGTATTTTTCCTGTTCTTGTACATCACCTCCTCATTGAATATCACGTTCCTGTTTCTGATGATCTTCTTGTTCTTCTCATTCCAAAGGCGATACCCGAACTCATCAATACCGTATCCAATGAATGTGCACTTCTGTGACTTAGCTTTTAGCTTGTCCCTGACATGGTCACTGATATGAACATAAGCCATGCAACCAAATACCCGTAAGTGTGAGAGATTTATCTTCTTGTCACTCCAAACCTCCTCTAGAATCCCAAAATCTAATGGAACTGATGACCCGTGATTAATAAGGTAGGCTAGTGTATGCACTGCATCTGCCCAAAATATCTTAGGCAGACCTGCATGTAACCGCATGCTCTTGGCACGCTCTGCCAAGGTCCTGTTCATCCTCTCTGCAATGTCGTTCTGTTGCGGCGTCCCTGAAATAGTCCTCTCTAACCGAATACCATTCGTAGCACAGAACCTCTTGAACTCCTCCAACTCATATTCCCCACCATTGTCTGATCTCAGACACTTCACCTTCATGAAGTAGATCCACACCTTTCTCGAGTGATCGTCGATGAAGATGACATAATATCTCGAACCGTTAAAAAAAGACACTAGTTGAACCCCATACATCTGTATGAATCAACTCTAGCTTCTGAGCCTTAGGTGGTCTTCCACCATTCTAAAAACTAACCCTCTTCTGCTTCCCAAAGATGCAGTCTTCACAAACCCCGACTTCCACGGCGTCGATCCCAGTTAGCTTTCCTTGTGAATGCAAAATCTTCATCCCCTTTTCGCTCATGTGTCCTAGCCTGTTGTGCCACAGATCTGTACTCTCTTTGCCACCTGCAATTGCGAGGGTGTCACTCGCATGTAAGGTGAGATAGAGAGTTCCTAGTTTGTTACCTCGAGCAACTATCATCGTACCGTTGGAGATCCTTCACGAATCCCCAGTGAATGTCGAAACATAACCTTCTGCTTCAAGCTGTCCCACCGAAACAAGATTCCTCTTCAGTTTCTGCACGTGTCTCACGTTCTTCAAGGTCCACTTAGAGCCCTTCATCTGAATCTGCACTTCACCCTTTCCAACAATATTACAGGGCTCGTTCCCCAAATATACTTTTCCAAAGTCCTTTGCTACATAATTCTGAAATATCTTCCTGTTAGCAGTGGCGTGAAAAGAGGCTCCTGAATCGATGACCCAAGAATCCGAGTCGCTGTCCATTGTAAGAATCAAGGCATCCTACACGATATGAGCCTCCTGCTCACCCGTATTCTTCTTTGGACTTTTGCAGACTGAAGACATATGGCCCTCCTGGCCACAGTTCCAACACTTTCCTTTGATAGGCCTAACCTTCGAGTTCGACCTCTTCTTTACTGATTTCGACCGATTCCTGTTCTGGTTTTCTTTCTTCTTGCTTCTGCCTCTCTGCTCAAAACTTAGAGTTGAACCTGAACCTTCTGATTCAGACGATTTTCTTCTAACCTCATCGGATAGAATCATGCTAACAACCTCACTCAGCTTCAACTTCTCCTTCCCCGCCGAATTGCTGATTGCCGTCACACAACCTGCCCAACTATCCGGCAACTGCGATAGAATCAATAGGGCTTGCACTTCGTCATCAAACGTGATGTCCACGGAGATAAGCTGATCAACAATTGTGTTGAACTCGTTGAGATGCATCGTGAAGGACCGTCCTTCTGCCATCTTGAGGTTAAAAAGAGTTTTGACTAGATGCACATTGTTTGCTGTCGACGGTTGCTCGTACATCTTCGCGAGCGCTTTCATAAGCCCCATCGTCGTCTTCTCTTTCAGAATATTGTGGGCTACTGATTTGACGAGCGACAACCGGATTTGCCCTAGAGCCTTCCTATCCAGTACCTCCCAATCACCATCTGACTCCTCCTTTTTCTTGCCCATCAACGGGCGATACAAGTCCTTCTGGTACAGGTAGTCCTCCATCTGCGACTTCCAGTAGGCAAAGTCTGAACCGCCAAACTTCTCAATCTTTGATTTGATTTCCTCTGCCATGGCTCTCTTTCACACAAATTGCTGAACGAAGCTCTGATACTAGTTGTTGGGGATTCAAAATAATCAAATCAAATCCACACCCTTCCGGATCTTGTGTTTGAGAGTTGAGCAAGAAAAAAATTCACCACAAATCAAAGATAAAAACTTGTAGGAAAGTAAACAAGAAAGAACACACCAGATTTAACGAGGTTCGGCAACGTGCCTACATCCTTGGGAGCCACACCACACAATTCTTTGATTAATTGAAGAAGATTACAATGTTTGCAATTAGCCTCTCTCTCTAAGATTTCTAACCTCAAAGAGCCCTCAAAACCCTTTTTTTTCGTGCTCTTTTTCTCTCTTAAACCCTAAAGGGACTTGTTTCTATTTATAACAAAACACAGTCCCAAACAGTTTAAGATTCTAAAACGAGTCTGCCACACCCTGGTGTGGCGCAGACCACACCCATGACAGACAGGGCAGACTCTGCCACACCCTGGTGTGACGCAAACCACACCCATGACAGACATGACAGACTCTACCACACCCTGGTGTGGCGCAGACCACACCCATGGTCTGTCTTGAATTTTTATGCGATTGTTGATTTTGATTCTAGGTTTGGGTCTCTACTTTCAAGACCAACAATTTCATGATAGATTTATCAAAAACCATGGAAATTATATATGGAACGTACATTTTAAATAATCTACCAAGTCAAAATTAACTACCAACATCAGTGCATAAGCATGCAAAATACAAAGAAGAATCGCAAAGATGATGCCAAATAAAACAGTATATCAACTGCCAAAGAAAACTCAGATTGCTCTACTTTGGTTCTGTAGAAAATTGGGAAGCAGACCTCCGGGGCAAGCTTTCACCATCTAAATTAAAATAGATAATAAGCTATTTTTGTTAAGGGGTCTTATTCGCGAACCTTTTGTATGCCTACCAAACGAGCATAGTCAACCCACCTGGTCAAGAAAATACAAAAATTAGAGTATGTCAAAACTTTTCGTTTATTTCTTGGGTTGCTCAGTAGCAAGTTGAGCTGCCATGAAATGCGGAGGGAGGGAGGGGTTCACTCACAACAAAGATCCGACAAATGTGTTTCCTGTACGAACTGCAAAGCACAATGCACTTAGCATGAGCTTATGATTGTGTAGCAATGGCTCCAGAATTCGCTGTTCAATTATACCGGCCAGTATCTGATACCTATTTTCAAATAACAAAAGAATAAACTTCATTAGTACATCTAAGCACCATCGCCATTTATGTGAAATTTCTACAGTAATTAATAAGAAATAAGACATTTCCGACTTTTAAGTGTTTTGTCTACAAATACCCAACATAGTTTTGATTCTAGATATCTCAACAAAATAAAAGCATCTTGAAGATAGATCATTCCGTATTTCTCGGCCAACGTATTGTCTAACATGCGTATAAAACTTCAAATTTCCACTGATCGTGTAGTTTTTAATTGAAATTTTTGAGAGAGAAACGAAAGTCCTTAAGAGTGGAATAATATTTGGTGGATATTAGGTATATTGTCGGAAGAAATACCCATAACCAGTGGAGAAAACAATTCAAATAATATTTCTTCAAGATCCTCCCTGAAACAATACATATGGCTAGAAGAAACTATTTTTGTGCTCTCTTAAAAGGAAAAAAGAGGCTGAGCTCAGTTATCAATATTTTTTCTCAGAATAGAAATTGGTATGCTGCAATGCATAAAAAATTAAGAACAAATGGGTGAAAAAACTTCCAGAGAAGAAAATAGTATAATTCTGAAGAAGATGAAACCGAAAATCACTAAAGAGATATATATACCTAAGGTTACTGGAAACGGCCATGTATACACCGTAGGCAACACTGGTTGAGAGTATAGGGACTTCGTCTGCTTCACCATCATAATCTTTGTCTACTGCCTTTCTCGTTCTAATCAGTGCGTTTGTTACCCCTGTTCCTATCTGCAAAGACAACGAATTCTAAGAAGCAATCCGATTCCCCAAAGAATAAAAAAAAAACTTCAGCAAATAAGTTCCAACAGTTAATAGCTATAGGTGATAAAGATTTTCATTCAATATCGTTGTACTCAGCTAAGATGAAACACTGTTTGTCAGGTCAGTTGCATCCCTAAGGTTCTCAAAAGTATACAATAGGGTAAGTTTCTGGGGAGAATCAATAAATCAATTTGTCGATGTTCAAAAGAGAAACAATAAACAGACAGAAAGCAAATACCCCAAAAACAATACTACTAAAAGTATCCCAAAAGGTAACACAATATAAGATAATGTAGGAAGAACAATGTCAATAATGGTGGTGAAATGATACCCTCTTATGCACTGAAATCATGAGATGAAATTCAGAGATATGCAAATGGGTCCACCAGTAATAAAGTTGGACTCAGTACTCAGACCATTATACAAAGGCCTCCCTATAAATTACCATGGAAGCTTTATTGAACAATACCCTTCTTTACACTTGAGGACATATTATGTTTCTCAACTATGTACGAAGTTGTACGCCTTAGCCAAAGAGCTGCAGCTGGTGCACCCTCAACATCAGCAGAACTGAATAAGCACAGAACAATACTCACAGTCATATGTCTTTCCCCTAGGTATGCTCCGCTATACCACGACATGCAATAACATGCTATCCTAACCCGATGCTGGAACTATCTTTACTTTCCCAGAATTACACAGTCCACAGTTCTCCAACAGTGCACCTACTTTCCAAAACCAAAGGTTTCCAACTCTCCTAAATACTAATTAAGCATCACTGCAATTATCTGGTAGCCTTGCCCAACAGCTTCCTTGGTCTCCTTCTCTTCGGGCTTCCCAATTGCTCCTGATCCGCACATCATGCCACCACATTCATCTTCTCTCATTTTAGGCTATTACTTAGCATCTCAAACAAGGACCTATCATGTCATACTAACAACATTATGTGACCACTATACGACCACTATACTGGATGTGTCCACGTCCCTGAATTTTTTGCACGTTTACCATGTTAAAGGTTTTCTTTTTTATGTTGTTGAAATAGACGAGATATCTGAGGGTTTTTAACTGAAAAAGGAGAAGATATGGAGGTTTAGCGACGACTTGTTGGAGTTCAAAACAGCATTGAAGTACATATAAGAAGAATCAAGCCAAAAAAAAAAGATCTGATCCAAAAGACTTTGTAAGCTGATTACAACTATTCCAAAAAGCCTTATTTACACGCTTTATAAGTAGGAAAGAAATAAATCTATCTAGATCTAATTCTAATTATCCAACCAATTTAAACAAATCTAGATAAATAATTGTGCTGTTCACATGGTCAGATAATACAAATGACTCTAAAATACCTATCAACCCTAACAAACCTAACCTTCAGTTCAAACGGAAGCACATCGAGCTCCTGGGTACATTATTCACAGCACCATATCATCAATAAACATCCAATGTCAATAGAATAAATTTTTGGGTAGAAGGCGTTAATGAAAACCGAAGGTAATTTAGTAATTTTAGAATTCAGAATGTGAGGAAGTAGTCCAAACATCAAAGGCTTATGAATCCAACATCAAAATTAGTAGTAAAACAAAGATCTTGAAATCTGACTTGTGAGGGTAAGGTGATCGGGTATTGGTCCAAACTAAAAGCAACTGAATCTTTTAGAAATCAGGTGTTTACCAAGAGAGGATCTTAATCTAAATCTTAATGCCCAAAGGAAAAAGGCAAAGCAAAGACAGCAATTACAATGAAGAGACAGTTCTCTGATGGACAATTCCATTGGGCAGCTGTCCTCTTAACATTGTTCACCTGAGGATCAACTGCTTCGAATTTGGACCATTAAGTAACGAAATTTCTTAAGAGGACAGAGTAGGAAACCCAGTCTCACAATTAGGGGTGGTAAACGATCGAATCGAATCGAATACTAAGATGTTCATATTTGTATTTGTTTAAAATTATCGAATTCGAATGTGGACTCTAAAATTCATATATCTAGTTTTTCGAACTCGAACTCGAATACTTGGTATTTGATAAATATTCATGAATATTCACGGATACTTATCGAATATCAAAGTATATTTATTCCGCTAAAGAATTTGATTTTCAAATAGTATTTGAATTCATAAATAAAATTTATTCCTTTATAATATATGATGTATATATATTTAAATCAAAATTTTAATTAGAAAACAGATTTAAGATGATTTAAGTCTTAAAATCAGGATATAAAGCTCAAGTAGAAATGGTATGTAGGTTAAAAATATGACATCATATGTGCAATAATACAAGTAATATGATGTGATCAAATTTTAAACGAATATTTAATAGACAAACGAATCGAATATACATCTGGTTAAATTCTATTCGTTAGTAAACTCGAATACTAAAAAATATTTGTTTAGTGGTAAATGAACTACCGAATCGAATATGACCGAATACTTTTTCGAACAATTATCGAACTATTTGTTAATTATTTGGTTCATTTCCACCCCTACTCACAATTGCTCACCTTTCCTGACCACACAATGGACAGCATTATACTTCGTATACGTAAGCATCAAATTTGTTGGGCATCAATAGCTCTCACTGCATTTCTGCACTTCTACTTCTCATGATATTTCGATATCTTGTTTGAAAGAGAGGAAGCCAATTACAGGTGGAACCAGATCTGTTTTCGGTGGACTCAGCAACAAGAAAGTTTGTACTCTATAAAACATCTATAAGTCATATAGGATCATACTTACAAAAATTTTGTGATGGATAAAATATTTCTACTTTATAATTCTCCCAGAATCCTGCATAAAACTACTAGGGGAAAATAATAATCCTGTTGATTTCATGGTAGCAGGTGGTCCTGCTCCATTTATTGTCATAGTCTTGTTTCCTATACAACTGCAACCTTTATAAACTTTAGTAAGCTGTAATTCTAGTTCCCTATGTAAATTTAGAGCCTGAACAGTGGTGTTGTTCAAAAATTTCATGAAGATTCCTTCATCTCAGTTTTCCACCGCAATTCCAGCACCTTTAATCTAATCTCTGGTACATAAGATGTAATCGGATATTGTTCACCCATCAGAAAAACCCAAAATGACATCAGGACCCAACCTCAAGCCATTGCTGGTAAGCTTTGGTCTTTGTAAGACATGATGCTTACACATGATAGAGGTATGCAGTGGGGATACACAAAACATGCCAATTGGTAATTAACGTGATTTAGAAGCTAGCATAATGATAACAAAAAATGTATTAGAATTTAGAAGATTGAAATAATGAAAGGCAAGGCTAATATAAAATGGGAAGAAGATCAAACTTACAAGTGATGCACTGGTTCCAACTAGAAAAAGTTTTGATCCATTGCGCTGCGGAAAAGAATATCATGTTACTCATATGTCATAATAGAACTAGTAGATGTTTAAATGTTTAAATGTTTAAATGACATCTGATAGATTAGTGAAGCAAAATTATCACTTACTGCAATTGCACCTAATCTCTGCAAAAAGGAGTAGGATGTACCAGCCAGGGCAACCTGTAGGAAGTATTTAGATTAGTAACCTACAGTTCAACAAGGTTCCACGTGCATCTGAAGAACTTAACTCAATCACCGATATCCAAAAATGTTACCTGGAAAGCGTTCTCAGGACAGCTGTAAAAGAATTTTGAAATAGCTCCAGCACTGATTGCAATAGGTGGTTTTAGAGAAACAGTTGGAGCAGGAAGCCAAACAAGCATGAAATCTGCAACTATCGCCATGACCTAAAGAAGGTAGAAAGTGAAGATTATGTCCAGAACAGAGATATGGAAACAACAATGGCACAAAAAAGCCACTGAAACTTAAATCTTAGGCCCAATATTTTATTCCTAGGGCCAAAGTGTTCCACCAATACGAGCAAAATATAGTTTAAAAGAGGTTGTGCTTTATTTTAACTGATGCTAGTAGAAAGTTTGATCTGATGTATTGTTTAGCATGTGTCCAAATAAATGGGACTAAATGATAGGGAATATGAATTGAATAGAGAACTTGCTGGTTTGCCAAACCCTGACGTTCTTTTTGGTTCTTCTGCAAATCATTTTCCATGCTCTTTTTATTTTACTATCATTTTTCCTCCTATATTTCTCATGCCTTGAACATTTGAGCTCTTCTATCAGACTGTCACAGTCAAGACCCTTACAGTTTCCCCTCTAACCAACCAAGCGCCTGTTGGTTGGTGCACTCCCGCGAAATGTAGAGCATCATGATCATATGTTGTATAAGCGTGATGACCATAAGTTGTAAGAGATTAGGAAACTAGTGTACCGTTTTTTGTACCAGCCATAAAAACGTAAATAATAAAGACATGCAGAAACCATACCACGTCAGCAATAACAAAATCTAATTCTTTCATGAAATTTTCTCTGCGCCGTTCCCACTCTGCAGCAGTCTACAAGAAGAAATTACAATAGTCAGTGCTACGATAAGAAGATTTAAGATATTTAAAGGTAATTCCTAGCAAAGGATGTCCAGGACAAGTTATGGAAAGGGAACGCTAACAAAGTGACACAGAAAACTTGTATAAAGAGAGAAGTCATGATATGAAAACAAATGGAAGACGGTCTCCAACTTAAGCAGAACAAAAATAATACAGCCACTAATACTTAAAATCACAACAGATATATTGCATGAAGCTATCATGTCAGACGTGCGTTTCCATGAGGATGAACTTATCAAAGGATCGACAAATATTCATGCATATATGAGAATTCTAAATTCTAAGCAGCGGTCGACGACAAGCTGGTTAGTTATTCCTCTGCTGGATAACGAAAAAGAATGAATAAACAGATTCCATAATCATGCCATTGTAATAATACCAGGGCTATAAATCCTTGTATCCATTTCATGATTTCCCCTCAAATCGGTGTGACCATCTCACAGGTTTGAAATGGAAAACTAATAGGAAAGCATCGAATAACCGTCTGGAATGATATTATTAGCAATTTGGAACTAGCTAAGACATGGTTGTTACGAGGGGGTTAAATAGTTAGTTCAAGCAATCACATGTCAGAATCAAGGGAGTCCATTGTCAGGCCCGGCTCTGGGGCTGTGCAAGAGGTGCGACCGCACAGGGCCCCCAAAAATTGGGGGCCCAAAAAAAATCCCGTCACCTAATCTCAACCGTTCATTTTCTACTATCCAAATGAATCTCGACCGTTCATTCATACTCAAAACCCTAAAATCCCTTCAACCCTCAGTCTCCCCTCTCTTCCACCCCAAAATCTCAACCCCAAAATCCACCCACCCCTCTCCAGGCTCTCCTCCGTCTCCCCTCTCTTCCGCCCCACAGACCCCCGCGATCGCCGTCGCCGCTCACCTCGCCTCGTCGCCAGACCTCGCCGTCACTGCTCGCCTCGCCACAGATCCCCACGATCGCTCGCTGCCTCGCTCGCTGCCCACGATCGCCAGACCTCGCCACTCGCCAGTCGCCACCCGCCGAACCTCGCTTGCTCACTCGCTGCCCACGATCGCCGCCGTCGAAACCTCAAGATTCAGAATTTTAGACTTCAGAAGGATTATCAGGTAACTCTCCAAGACTCCAAAATTTGCGAGCTTTTGGGCAAAAAAAACCCTAATTTCGGTAGTGCAGGAGGATTAAATTGCTATTGATGAGTGTACAACCACATTTCTGATCAAATTGCTATTTTGCTAGAATTATTAGACTGATTGTTTTTGGAATTGTATGTTAAACAAATTTGTGAGTTTTTAATTTTCTTTGCTGCTAGTTTTGCTGCATTTACTTTTACTTCATCGAATTATAATCTAGAATTTGAACTTCTTTCAAAAAGGCATCTTTAGTGGTTCTTATTAGATGAAGAAGAGAGTAATCTGGACTCAGTTGAATGTTAAGGTAAAGAAAGGAGAGCTGCTGAACTCAAGATACGCAGGGGTTTAGTTGTAAAAACTTAGGGGTCGTTGTAAAAAAAAGAAGGATTAATTACAAGCTGGTACCTCGAGTCATGATGTAATTATACCTAACTGAGATGACCAGAAGTAACTCTTGTTTCACCCATTTTTTTTGTTATTGCAAGATTTGTTAAACTGGTTCCTAATAAACTTTTTGGCTCTTAAACTTCAGGGATTAAGGAGAGTTGGAGACACGTCGTCGAAGAAGTTCCGACGCGACAAGCGTGTATACCTTGGTGCTCTTAAATCAGGTAATATTTTAATGTCTGATCAGTAATATTTTGTTCCCTAGCATTTTAGGGATTCAAATTAAAAATTATTGATATTTTGTATATAGAGAAGGGCCTGTGTTTACTTTTCGCACAGGGCCCCTAAAATCTCAGAACCGGCCCTGTCCATTGTGAAGTGTCATAACTCCTTTAAAATAACATGGCAGAAGAGATAGCAACCAGACAGATCAGCTTGTTGTCGTTGTCGTCGTTGTTGTTGTGAGGCAACTTGTCTTCATAAACAGCTATCTTCAAGAATAGGAGACGAAGCGATGACATGGCCGCCCTACTCTCAATGGAAAGAAGAAGAAGAAGAAGAAGCAAAGTCCTTGTTTGGTTTGATCTAAATGAAAGAATGATGCAGAGTAGAAGAAGAAGAAGGAGACACATTTGCTCTCCGGGGAGGAACAGCAACTGAACGATCAAAAGGATGAAATAGGAACAACAGTAACTGGATGATGATAAAGTAGTAAGAAAAAAAAAGAGCAAAGGCAGGCAGATTCTTTTTAAGTAGCTTACTAAAAAAAGGGTTGACTCCAAAAAAAAAAAAAATACTAGGGCTAATTAAGGGGAGGGAGGGGGACCTTGGTGAAAATGCCAACGCCACACTCCATGGCGACCTTAGCCAAGAAGAGATCGTCAGCCAAGAGCCTCTCCTGAAAAGCCCCCGAACGCAGCAGCCAACGGAAAGACCGCGACCTCTCCACTCAGCGAACTGCTCGCAGGATGGCAGGAGGGATCCTACGGCCTGAACCGCAGCAGCCAGGTGGAGGGCAAGCTGTCGGCAGGGCTCCCATCGCGCCAGAGCAGGATCGCTCCCTCCGGTTCATTCCCGTCAGCTGGAAGCCCGCCGGTCCGAGCCTCTCCTTTTCCGTGCCGGCGTTGCTGCTCATCGCTCCGTCCTCCGTCCGCCGCGACGAGATGGATTTGGCGATGAACGGGGTGACAGGCGACCGACGAGGACGATTTGTGGGCTGTGGATCTGGGAGTGGTAGGCCGCGGGCTGGTGGCGGCGGGAAAGGGATGGAGGTTGGGGATGCGAAGGGAGGCTGGAATTGACGATGATGATGTTTGTTGTTGGCGAGTGTTGACGGGGGGGGAGGCAGGGCAATGGCAGGCAGCAGCCGACCGCATGTTACGGAAATAAAATTAGGTATAAGCTTATTAATTTGCGAGGAGAGAGAATAAAATTGGGCAGGTCCCCTCCCTCCCTTTCTCTCTCTCTCTCTCTCTCTCTCTCTCTCGCCCTCGGCCTCCCCCTCTGCGTGGTTTCTATATTTTTCGCGTTTAATTTATTTTAGTTCAACAATCGTCTTCACACAACTCATAGACTATATTATTATTATATTATATTTTGATTTGATGCGATGCGAGCCGAGTTTGACGAGGAATTTGGTAGATAAAAATACCACCCACCCACTTTGCGTGTTGGTCGGGTCCCATTTTGATCTTGGATTTGCATCCCCAAGACTTTGGAAGGACAGGACAGTCGGCTTGGGGTATCAAAATGATAAAAACAAGAGAATGATAATAGCGAAGTAGTATGTGTTGTGCGCAGCGGGACACGTAGGAAAACACAGCCACAAACGAGATTAGAGAACAAACAACAACCAAAATAAGTACCATAAATACAAGACAACAAATTTACGTGGTTCAGCAAACTTACCTACGTTCACGGGAGCGACATAAATAATTTCTTATTTAACAACAAGAAATTACAAATTTGCAAAGAAAATATCTCAAACTTGAGATCTCTCAAATGGATGCTAATCTACGCTGTAGGTACAGTGTAAATCTCTCTCTCAACTACTCCTTAATTACTCAACCCCCTTCTCTTTAATTCCCCAACTCCCCTCTTAAATTCGTGAGAGCTGGGACAAATGGGAGCTCAAATCGTAGAGGCAAAAAAGGATGACGCCGTCAGAAATCCTCTGAGGGATCGCTCAAGCTCTCTACACTCTCCGCTCGTGAATAGGGTTTCCCTTTTATAGGGAAACCCTAAGTCAGATCTGGCGCCAGACAATCTCCAGCTGGCCTCCACCATGCCGCGCGAGGTCTCCATCAGGCGAGCTCCAAAGGCAAGCTTGATCTCCTTCATCAGTCGAGGTCCACGCTCCCAACAAGCGACCTTATGGCGATAGGCGAGCTCCCTCTCCTCGCCACGATCCACAGACGAGCTTGATCCATCCACGCAGGCGAGCCCTTCTCTCCCGCAAGCAACGTCGTCGAGCTCCGATCTCCAGCAGGTCCGTTCTTCTTCAATTCTCCACCTCGTACATCATTTGATAAATCTCAAATTATGGACGAACACCAGAAGAACATCGCGAACGCCAACCAGGTCAAAACCAGCTGCACCATTATACCATGGCTGCCTACGTACCCTCTGACCGGGATCAAGCTAATCGTAGTTCTGTAAATGGCCTCCAAAGGGCCTCAACAACGAAGAATATTCAACAACTCCAAACAATGACCAAATTTCACCCCAGTGACAACTTTGGTCAACATATCTGCCGGATTGTCCTTTGTGTGGATTTTTTCTAGTTTAATGTCTCCATCATCCAAGACATCTCGTACAAAATGAAATCTGAAATCAATGTGTTTTTTTTCGGACATGGTACACCTGATTCTTTGCCAAATAGATAGCTGACATGCTATCACAATTTGTCCTGATGGTATCATGTGTAATCCCTAAGTCATCTAATAACGCCTGCAACCACAAAGCTTCCTTCACAACTTTAGTCAATGCTATATACTCTGCCTCCATAGTAGAGAGAGCCACTATAGACTGAAGTGTACATCTCCAACACACTGATGCTCCTGCTAGTGTAAACACATATCCAGTAGTAGACCGACGCTTGTCAAGATCCCTTGCATAATCAGAATCCACACAACCAATACAATCCTGCTCATTCTTTCCATTCTTCTCAAACACCAAACCAACATCCACGGTACCTTTGATAATACCGTAGAATCCACTTCACGGTCTCCCAATGACCCTTTTCAGGATCGTGCATGTACCTAGACATCATGCTCACGGTCTGTGACAAATCTGGCCTTGTACACACCATTGCATACATCAAGTTACCCATAGTATTGGCATATGGAACTTTGGACATGTATTCACGATTCTCAACTGAAACAGGTAACATCTTAGCTGGTAGCTTAAAGTGAGGAGCTAATGGAGTACTCACCGCCTTAGCATTACCATCAAAACTGAATTTTTTCAGCATCTTTTGCAAGTAGCCCCTCTGTGTTAAGTTCAACTTCCCTTTCACCCTGTCTCTCTCAATTTTCATACCCAATATTTTCTTTGCTTCTCCAAGGTCCTTCATCTCAAATTCGGATGACAATTCATTTTTCAACTTCCTAATAGCTGAAGAATTTCTGGAAGCAATGAGCATATCGTCAACATATAACAAATAAATATGCTCACCATTCTGTAGCTTATGCATGTACACACATGGGTCATATGGGCTCCTCGTGTACCCTTGGTCGATCATGAAACTGTCAAATCTCTTATACCATTTGTTGCAGTGATTGCTTCAATCCATAAAGAGATTTCTTCAATTTACATACCAAATCATCCTTACCTGCAGCTTTAAAACCCATCGGTTGTGACATATAGATCTCATCTTCTAAATCTCCATGTAGAAATGCTATTTTCACATCTATCTAGACCAAATCCAAATCGAGTTGTGCCACCAACGGCAATAATATTCTTATCGATGAGTGCTTAACAACAGGTGAGAATACATCGTTGTAATCTATGCCCTCAAGTTGGGCATATCCTTTGGCAACCAATCTGGCTCTGTATCGAATGTCACCATCAGAAGATCATCATTTCTTTGCATACACCCACTTGCATCCAATAGTCTTCTTACCCTTCGGTAGTTGGTTGGATCAAAGTTACAACGGCAGCAGGATGTACCCTCTGGGACCCACGCATCCGACTCTTCTTTTGATTCCATATCTAAGTCAGCCAAGGCAGGTTCGAACTCAGTCTCTCTACCTCCAAGATTCAAAAATTTTGCTAAGGCTAAGAAAAAGAAGTTTATTGGTCGATTGAGGCTAGTCTCTAACCCTATTTCTGTGAAGAAATAACAAGCTTTCTTGGTAGCTTCTTATTCTAAGGGTTCCTCGGTGAAGAGGGGTAAGTCCTCTTCCTCCACTTTTGTTTCTCTTCCTATTAGTGCAGCATCAGATTTAGATATTGCTAAGATCTCAGTAAATTGTGGTCTTAAATAGCCTATTGGTTTGGAGGGTATCTCGAAACTTAAGCCATTGGAGAAGGAGAGAGCAATGGAAATTTCTTAATTTCCTACCCCCTCCTTTCTAGTAGTTGGTGTGTTTCTTGTTTTTTTTCTTATGAAGATAGGATCTTAGAATGTTCGAGGTCTAAATGACCATGTGAAACGTAGACTTGTTAGAGATGGTATTTCCTACACTAGTCTTGACATACTTGGTATTTAAGAATCTAAAGTCAGTTTTGTTCATCTCTTTACCCTAAAAAGTTAGGCAATAATAGAATAACATCTTGGCTTAGTTTAGAGGCTTCAGATTCTATAGGTGGTGTACTCTTGGGTTGGAACGATTCTATGTTCGACTTTATTGATTCGTATATTGGTACTTTTTCCATATCAGTGATTCTCTGCCATAAATCCATCAATTGGAAATTCATGGTTTCAATTGTCTATGCCCTATCGATAAAGAGGAAAAAGAAGCTTGTTGATGGGAATTACTTCGAGTGCGTTGTCTTTTTTCTTATCCTTGGGTTCTTTGTGGAGACTTTAATGTTACTCTTAATGTTAATGAGAGGAGTGGTCGTTCTGGTTCTCTTTGTGACATTAGAAATTTTAGAACCTTGAACCTTGATAGATAAGCCTTATTGATTTACCTCTCAATGGTAGAATTTTTACTTGGTCCAATTTGAGAGCTTCTCTTGTTCTTGCGAGGCTTAATTGTTTTCTTAATTCCTCTAATTTTTATTTTAAATTCCCATCATCAATTCAATATTCCTATCCGTTAGCATGCTCTGACCATTGTCCTATTATTCTTGACACTTCTTGTATTAAACTTAGACCTCTCTTTAGGTTTGAAAAGTCCTGGATGTCTCACCCTTTCTTTGTCTCTTTTATTGAGGGATGTTGGAGATCATTTTCTTGTCGGGGTTCCCCAGTGGAAAGATTAGCCTTCAAAATCAAGGTTCTGAAAAAAAAGACACAAATGGTGGGAGAAATTTATCTTTGGGTCCATCTCTTGTACTAAGCAGAAACTCCTCTCTGAGATAACAACCTTTTCCTTATTAGAAGAGTCACAACCTCTCTTTCAACTTGCGTTCTCTACTAGGATCAGTCTAAAATCTAAACTGTTTGACATTGCCAATATTGAAGAGGTTATTGGCACCAAAGATCCAAATCTCTCTGGCTCAAAGAAGAGGATTCTAATACAATATTCTTTTATAAAACTGCTTCAGCTCATATGCGTAGGAAATTTATTCCCACTCTTATGCATAATGACTGTCTTTTGTCTTCTGAGCATGAAATCAAAGATGCTTTTTCACTCTTTCTTTTCCTCATTGTTCAAGGCTGCTCCTCCCCTTTCTTTTTAGATTGATTGGTACTCTATGTACCCTCATAACTCTGTCTCTCTTTCCCCTCTAGATAACCCTTTCTCTCAGGAAGAGATCAAAAAGGTTGTCTTCTCTCTTCATCCTGATAAATCACCAGGGCCAGATGGTTTTTCAATCCTCTTCTATCAATCTTTTTGGGAAATTATTAAAGAAGATCTTTATTCCTTTTTTGGGAGTTTATATCAAGATTCATCCATCCTGCAATCCATCAATTTTTCCTTCATCACTCTTGTCCCGAAAGTGGATGGTGTTAATGGTGTTAAGGATTTTAGACCAATTAGTCTCATTAATGGACTTTATAAATTTTTTACTAAAATCCTTACTAATAGGTTAGCACATCTTCTGCCTTCTCTAGTTGATCATACCCAATCTGCTTTTTAAGCGGGTAAGTCCACCCTTGACTCTATCATCTTAGCTAGTGAAATGATTCACAATTGCTACTCTAAAAAAAGAAGAGATTTGCATTTTTAAAATAGACTTCATGAAAGCCTTTGATTATATAAGTTGGTCTTTTCTCTTATCTCTTTTAAGAGCTAGAGGTTTTGGACCGAAATGGTGTTCTTGGATAGAAAATATCCTTTCCTCTTCTAAATCATCCATTCTGGTTAATGGTTCCCTTATTGATTTCTTTCCTTGCTTTAGAGGCCTAAAACAGGGAGATCCACTATCTCCTATGTTATTTATACTGATTGTTGATGTTCTTAACAAAATGTTAAGCAATAGTGCAGATGCATGTCACTTGTTTGAACTTCATCTTAAGAGCCCTCTTAATTCCATTCACACTCTGCGATGGTACACTAGTCTTCTGTAGAGCAACTCGTGAGGATATCTCTACTCTCAAAATGATCTTCTATCTTTTGAGGACATATCTGGGCTTAGTATCAACTATGCTAAGACATCTTTGTTTTATTGTGGCAAACTCTATGGCAAGGGTGCTTATTTTGCTAACTTTATGAGATGTTCTCTACATTCTCTCCCTTTCAAATATCTAGGTCTCCCTCTCAAACTGGGCTCTCTCACTGAAAGAAAATGTCAACCTCTCCTTGATTCTTTTTCTCGTAAGCTCTCTCCTTGGAAAAGTAAGCATTTGTAGATTGGAGGTAGTCTCATTTTTGGTTAATTCTGTTCTATCATCTTTACCTCTGTATTATATGTCTTTTTTTAAACTTCCTAGTTGGGTGATCAAATCAATTGATAGATTATGTTGTAGTTTCCTATGGGGTGGGACTTCTTCAGTCAGTAAATGTAAAGCTTTGATTAATTGGTACAATGTTTGTAAATCTTAAGAGGAAGGGGGACTAGGCGTTTTTAATCTATCAAACTTCAATTTTGCTCTCTTATCTAAATGGGCGTGGAAAGCCTTGAACCATGATTCTTTTGTTGGTAAAACCATTTTGGCTCTTTATAGTCTTCATAACTCCCTCTTTTTAGTACACCATCTTCTAGATCAGTTTCTAAGGGCAAGATGCAGTTTCTATTAGCTTGGTTTTGAGGAGTATGGTGAGATGGAACTTGGGAGAGGGTACTAGAATCAGATTTTGGGAAGACAAATGGGTAGGAAATTTCACTCTAGATAATTGTTTCCCTGAGGTGTATAAATTAGCCCTCTCTAGCAATATTAAGGTGGCTTCCCAAGGTCTAATGAGGGGCAAAGTATGGACTTGGAAACCTATCCTCAAGCGAGCTCTCACCAATTCTGCTTCTGTTCAATTAAATGAACTAATAGTTTTGTTATCAGATGCTCCTCCTATATCAGATATGCCAGACTCTCCTTCTTGGCCTATCAACACGAACAACAATTTCTTTGTGAAATCCCTCTACTGTCTACTTTAATTCTGGAGGAGTTACTTTTGAGCATTATAAGTTTATTTGGTCAACTTATTTACCTCTCAAAGTTAAGATTTTTAGTTGGCTATTAACCAAGAATAAACTTCAAACGAAAGACAATTTTATTAAGAAAGGATGGGTGGAAGATGTTCTTTGTCTAGTTTGCTAAGAAGTGGAAGAACCTGTAGACCACTTATTCATCAGGTGTCAGTATGCTCAAAACATTTGGCAATTCTTTTTGCCTTCGTTGGGTATTCCTGCTTTTCATAATGATCTATCTCATATGTTGAAGTCTAAAGGCCAGTTTATCTTCGATAGAAACTGTCGACTGCTTTGGTGCATTTTATTGCCTACTCTATGGTGGTGTCTTTGGTGAGAAAGGAATTCAATGGTGTTTAATGGTACCATTAGAGAACCATCCAAGGTGGCATCTAATGTTGCCTATTTTCTCTTGTTCTGGACAAGTAAATCTCATCACAAGAAGGCAGTACGGGTGAAATTAATTATACAAGATAAGAAGATAGAAGAGCTTTTGAGCAGCAGTGAGGACCTAAGACTGATCTCTTTGGGAGCAGAAGTTGGAACTTTCTTAAATAATTGTTTTTTGGTTTTGGGTGTTCATGTAAAGATGTTTAGTGTTTGTCTTTGTGTTGTTGATGGTGTTATCAGTTGTCCGATACTTTAATGTTGTTGCTTCTAGTCTTTATTTTTAATAGATATCCTTTAGTATAGATTTTGAGTTTTTAAAGGATTGGACGAGTTGACAGCTATGATCCTCTCCCCTCTCCCTTCTAATTGCTCTTCATCTTGCTTTGGATATTTCTTTGTAAATATTCTGATCTATAATATATATCTTTTGAAATAGGGTGTCTTGCCCTATTTTACAGTTCAAAAAAGAAAAATAAAAAGTAGAAAGAAAAGAAAAGAAAAGAAAACTTACATTTGCCCTTAAATATGCAGAATTGCACTTTTAAACAGAAATATGCTAAGACATTCACGTCAAATCACGTCGACATTTTTACCTGATTCCACACCCGTTCAAACTCAATTCTTTTGAGGTCTACATTCCAACATACGCATGCCATACACAGTTAAATAAAAAATAGTGAGGGTAAGGGGCTGTTTGGTTGAGTGATTTTATAGAAAACTTTATAGAAAATGACTAATAGTGACAGTTTTATAAATAAAACTTTTCTAGAAATTTCTATAAATTGTGTTTGGTTCAAAAAAAATTATAGAAAAGTCAGAAAAGTACCACATTTTATAGAAATCAATTTCCACTCAAAATGAGCAAAAATCACCCAAAAATCTGACGTATATATTAAAAAATAATTAAATACATCAGTACCCTTCCCACGTGATTTCTCATGAGCATTGTTAGTAAGCTATTTTCTATAAAGTAACATCCAACCAAACAAAAAAAAAGAAAACAACATATTTTCTATAAAGTTACTAAGTTTTTCGTACTTTGAACCAAACATAGAAATAACAAAAAGCAAGAAATATGGTACTCTTTTGAGTTCTATATAATTTTCCTACAAATTTTATAGAAATACAAGGAAATCAAAATTTGGATACTTTTCTCTTTCCTCTTTTTTATAGAAATTGAACCAAACAGCCCCTAAAAGGAAATAACGCTGCCGAATCAAGAAAAGCAACAGTAATGGAATGCATAATTAACAAGAACAATTATACGCCATCCAAAATTTTGTGAGAAGATGGCATCCCAACATCGAGAACAACAATTTTCCAACCTTCTCCCTCCCTCAAGCTGATTGTAATAAATATATCTTGCATGATGAACAAATTCTCCCTACACCAGATTCAAATGAACCGCCCTGTACATCCAGAGCGTTGATTCATTGTTATGCGGCCAAGAGAGCCCATCTTCGACTTCCTGCAATAGGAAAAGACACCTGCCTCTAGTAATTTGAGATTTTTCTCTTTCTAGTTCTTGCTCACTGGGTAAAGATGCGCGTCTCGTACCGTAATAAGAGCCCTCAACAAGCAAGCCTCAATCTCAGGCGCCTGTCTACCCCATAAATAATTAATAAGCTACTACTACAAGAGAATGCACTTCAGCTGCTATATATCTTGCCCCCTCAAATTCTAATCACTTGGGGCCTTGCTTCCTGATTTCCTTCTGTTCCTGTTGAATTTCGAAAATGCACCAGATTTCTGATTGTCTTTTTTCCTCTCAGTTTTCATCATTTTATTTCTTCTATCTGGCTTCTCGTCCACACTCATCTTGCGTTTCTTATTCTGCCGTTTTAAATCTTTTTTAAACGGATTCCCCGGAACAGAGGGATCAAACCCCTCCAGTGATTGGATTTTCCTACCATCAACATTAGTTTTGTTTTTTATGCTGGACATGTCCTTTTGCTGTTTCCATCTTTTCCCTTTGCGAATAGCATCAGATGATCCTTTCGAATGCTTGCGTGAAGGACCTTCAAGTGCCCTTTTTTCTCTTCTGCAAATAATTAGTATACAGCATCATCTTGGTCTGAAGCTTCAATAGAACAAATTTAACTAAACCATGAAAAAAATGCAAAATAAACAAGGCTCCCTACCGTTTCTTTATATCATTTTCTGAACCCATTGCTGTATCAGAAGTAGAAAGCGCGTCTGGTTTCTTCTTCCAGAGACGCCCCTGCAGATAAAAAGAGTCAACAGCAAGAATTGCAGGCTCCATCTTAAATGAAGAACACACTGGCATAGATACTGAGGAAAACTCGCAAGCAGATTCATGTTAATAGGGGTAGGCTGAGGCTATTAAAGTTCCATTTAACATGCACTCAGGATAACTACATTGGGTTACTAGGTTATAAATAATTTTAACTGAAAAATCACGGCAACAAAAACAAACTTAGTAATGAAGACGTTTAGATGCTCGATTATTGAATACCATGAAAAATGGAGGCTTCCTTGGAACCCCTTGCAACCAAAGATTGCCTAATATAGTACTCAAAGAACTTTTTTACCCAACTAAAAGGGAAACCTGAAACCAACCCCAAAATTTTGGGAATAAAGGCTTTTTTCGTTGTTGTACCAAAAGAGCAACCTAGATGTTGATTCCAAGATTTTACACCCTATTTTTTAGGCTAACAAATACAAGTGAAAGATAATGTAGTGAGGCTGATGACTAATTATTCAAAAAATGGAGAAGGATAGAAGAGTCAAACAATGCTTTGAATATTGTATAAAGTCAAGTGCCTCCACATAAATTAGTTTATACTTACCAGGAGTCAAGTGATGAAGAGAGACGAAGATTGGAATAATGCTCCAAGATGAGAAATAATATTGATATATAACATATATACCATACTGGGGGAGCTTAAATAAATTTCGTTATGTAGTTAATGCATTTGAAAGCTTGCTGGGCTCAGATACGCATCTGTTTACATAGTGCAAAACCCCCATACGTAAGGACTAAATCAATTGATGTTAGGATCAAACGATATGATATACGTGTCTGATCATGCTCTAGTACATGATTACTGTTGCAATCTATGAAGCACGGACACGCATAACATGAAGCCGTGTCGTGTCGTGTCCGTGTCGGACACACGTGTCGAACACACGTATCCTATGTATTTTTTAGGATTTGCCTCGTGTCGGCGTGTCGGATCCGTGTCCGTGCTACATAGGTTGCAATACACAAGTTTGATCTCTGCCATAGGTATCCATGCATCAAACATTTCCGTTTGATACTCCAGCACCATGTGCCCTGATCTGATCACTGGCCTACAGCCAACCTGGACTGACATGGTAAAATCATCAAATTATACATCTTTGGAGTTGGGACGGGTCATTAGTCTAGACTATCAATTCCCAATTGAAACCAATAATTATAGAGTTATGGCTAAATGAAACATACAACACAAGCTTGCTTACAGTTACACATGCCTCCAGACACATTTTAATTTCTAACTACAAAACGTTACATGCTAATGGAATTATATTGTAGTCTAGAATCTAATTCTTAATCCATTGATTTGGAGATAATTAAGGGAGATGACAACAATATCAACTTTAGCCTGGGCAAAAGCTTTAAGTACATTTTAGGAATCCATAATCCTAATTTCTTGACATGCATGGCTGCCTAGCTTTCTACAAATGACATACACACAACCATAGCCACTCATCTTGCAGTAATAATTTGAATATGAATCAAGTACATTACTTGCATTCAATATTCTTCCTGTCTCAAGGGTTCTCTGGATTTAGTTCTTACATTTAATCCATCACAGCCCCTTTCTTCTTGTATTGATAACAGCACTCATACTAGATTCAAGAGAATACTTGAGAGTGAGTTATTTTAAACTCATTTCTCATAACTGAAAAGTTTCTTGTTGGCTTTATTATGCCATTAAGCTCATCGTCGACCCTTCACAAAGAAATAAGCTTCACCTTGTGTATCAAAAAGAGAGATTAGTGAGCTTCATACTTTGTACTTTTATGAAAAAGATCAAAAATTTATTATTCTTTCTTGATGTGATCGTCTCTCATGATATTTGAGGATAAGTAAGCAAAGAATTAAGACACTTTATACCATATAAATCACCAAAGCTTCAAATCAGAGGTATACTGGTTACAGTGACATTGGCTCCAGATCAACCAAGGCTTTTATAAAGAAAGTAAACAGAACCTTAAGGTGGCATCTACCATTAGAGGAGAAACAGAAGCTTAGTGTAAGGCTACCTTCTGATGTACACTTGTATCCTCGAGTTTATTGTTCTCAATATAGGTGGAACTGTTCATAGTCGTGTACAAAGCATGTTATAAGGTCATCATGAGAAGAATGATTTCATTGCGGTGGTATATCTCTAGTGAGCGCATGACCCATTTGAACCTTCGTATAAAGTGAGATTCCAGAGAAATATTTGTTTGGACATACTGAGCAGAAATCACATGGAGCTGATAAAGCTGACAGTGTTTTTCAAAGACAGGGAAATTTGTGTTTAAAGAAACATCTATAGCATGACATATTACCTCTTCAATGGTCTTGACGAAACCCTTGTACTTATCAGGCACGACTAACCCAACAGCTTTATTTCCACACTTTCTGATCAAAATCTCAAGGATCACAGCAACCTACAATGTGTATGGTCATTTAAATGATTGAAATACAATATAGTAAGGTAAAATTAAACTGTCAGAAAAAAAAACATTGACCTGAACGGCTTATGATTGATGCATACCTTCGATCTAAAATGATGTTTTGTGACAGACGACCAAGGCAACATTCCATTAAGGATATCAGTTAAGAAGTTTATCAGGTCGTTAGAATGCAAGGAAGATGCTAAAACTTTAATGAAGCCCAAAGCTGCCTGTTCAATGCTAAAAACAACTGAGTTGGGGAAATGAAACAACAAACAAGGTGATAGTAAAGAATGAGAAGAAGCTTACTTTAATAATTTCAATATCTTTCTTTTGAAGCAAAGTTAGTACAGTTGATATCAGGTTTGGTACAGCTATACAATATCTCGCATCATTGTATATCAACAATGAAAGCGCAGAAATTGCTCCACTCGTTATGTGAGGTGATGAACTAGAAAGATAACCCATTACCTGGAAACGAAGGAGATAAAATGTTATAAGAAAAGTATATATGCAGTTATTAACGTGATTTAGTTAACAACTTTCTCTGTTTCTGTCACACAACCAAATGACAGACATCATTCCACTCGTTTGTATATGCAGGGCGCAGTTTCATGTAGCAACAAAGAAAATTGAAATACAATAGTATAGCCAGCATGAAATGTGAATAGAGAGTTGCTTTTATACAGGACCTTTAGCATATTAAATAATACTACAAGATAATAACATCTCCCCACAAGGTTTTCACGTGAAAATTAAGGTAAGAAATAAGTTCGAGATTCACAACAAAGTTGTCAACTTCAACAACTGCTTCACCCTAAGTAGCAATAATTTCTTAGAAATACCAATAGCCACGAATGTGGTGGTATTTGATCACATCGAATCGAATATTAAGGTGTTTGTATTTGTATTTGTTTAAAATTATCGAATTCGCATGCGGACTCTAATATTCATATATGGAGTTTTTTGAATTTGAACTCGAATACTTGGTATTTGATAAATATTCTTGAATATTCATGAATACTTATCGAATATTAAAATATATTTATTTTGCTAAAGAATTTAAATTTTAAATAGTATTTAAATTCATAAATAAAAATTATTCCTTCATAATATATGATGTATATATATTTAAATCAAAATTTCATTAGAAAACAGATTTAAGATTATTTAAGTCTTAAAATCAGTATATAAAACTTGAGTAGAAATTATAAGCGGGTTAAAAATATGACATCATAAGTGCAATAATACAAATAATAAGTGAACAAATTTTAAATGAATATCTGATAGACAAACGAATTGAATATACATCTAGTTAAATTCTATTTGGTAGTAAAGTCGAATACTAAAAAATATTTGTTTAATGGTAAATGAACTATTGAATTGAATATGACAGAATAATTACTCGAACAATTATCGAACTATTTGTTAATTATTTGGTTCATTTCCACCTCTAGCCACGACTTTTGCTTTAAGAAAGATTATTCAACTAGTTGATTTTTTAGGAAAGAATAAACGAAATTTGGATTTGTTTAATCAACAAGAAACGAGAACAACCAATTAAAAAAGATTAAAACAAAATTTAGTACACCAAACTGCATATAGACATTATAAAATTGATGATGAGTGCATATGCTATGATTGAAGGTCACACAAGGGGAAAGAGTAAAAATCTAAGAGACCAGACAGCATAAATTGCACGTGTTTGACATGGCTTGACGCATGTGTAATCGCACAAGTTCTATTTATCATGAATAATGTTTGATTTCTGTTATTATTCCCAAGGAGAGCTAACTGCAACTTGTACGTATTCTGACATTATGCTGTGAACAAGTTTGATTGTAGGGAAAACAAAATGTAACACTCGTGAAAGCAGAATGCGCGATGATGAAGGAATCAAGTAGTGGCAACTGAATAGAGAAGACATGTCTTAGTATTGTTACTCTTACCATATTAAGCAGTTTCTGGAGACCGGACTCTGGATCAGTATCTTGGGTTTCCTTCAAGGTGCAACTTATATTCAGCAGTACATTATATGCCAACTTTCTAGATTCTTTCTTTGTCTGCACAGGCACATGGCAATCAGAGTTATTGCACCAAATGAAACTATAAGATTAAAGAAATTCATAAATTAGGAGAAATATCAAAATAATAGCAACTTCTATCATTACTTATACATGATAAGTGAAACTTATTCTAGTTCTAGAAATAGGCGAAAAATACATCAAGCTTGTTTTTGAACCATTGCTAATGTTTTAATGCCAAATTGGTTTTTTTTTTTTTTTTGTTATTGGTGAAGTGATATTCACACTGTTATCCCCCTAGAGGATTGGGCTGCCTTGTAGAGAAACATACATGTTTTGCACTGGTATTACCTGAAGATAACTAGATAGTTCAACTGTCTTATGGTCGTATGCTTTTTGAAGTGCACATTGGCAGATTGGGTGTATGAATACGTAACTGCATGTGCATGCTCACAAAAACACTAGAAAAGGCATGTGTCGTATACAAGAAACCTATAACTCTTTCACACATTTATCACATTAAAAAAAAACAAGTAAAAAGCATGCCTATGCATGTGAGAAATCAAATCCTTTTTCAAGTTCTCCCATGTAATAACAAATATTATAAAGATAATGATAGAACATCAGAGGTCAATAATAACCCTGACCTGCTATTAGACTATGTTTTTGGTTATATATCACTATCAATGCTCAAAGTTCTCCCAAATATACTAAGTACAAATAAGATTAAGAAAAGTACTACCCGATGATAAGGTAAAAAAATAAGATTCAAAATCCAGTCCACCATTTATTAAAAATAGAACAACGTATGTGTCGCCTACCAAAAAAAGAAAGAATAACATGTGTTTTTGAAGATATAGTTCAATGCTAGCTCAAAAGATAAAGGATAACTTTTCTAAATGATCATAGTTCAAGAAATTAAAATAAGAAAATCTATTTCAAGTTTATTTAAAAATAACTCTTATTTGCCTCCTAAGTCCTAATCAACTTTGACAAGAACCTATCGACGCAGTCCATAAACCAATGTATTTCTATCCCAGATCCAGAACTTCGGATTGTGAAAAGTGGATTCTTTTAAATATGAACAACCTGGATGTATTGCAAGTGCCAACAAGGGGGGAAAAGGTAAAACCAACCAAAGTTCTTTTAAGCATATAGATATGCAGGGCCAGAAAATGGGAAATTCCAAATACTTGGCAAGTGAAGAAGCAATTAAATTTAGAAATAATAAGGGTGGAGGTCCATATGCATGTGCTATTAAAATGGGTGGACTCGTTGAAACAATACTATTCTTGAGGGATTGGTCATAATTCAGGCCCGCCTAAGTCAACGAGGAACTATGAGTTATTTTTGTCAGGTGATACTAAACAATCAATCTAGCTTTCTAAGTGCCACTTTATCATTTAGACCTATCCACATAACATTGGGAGCTATTCACAGCTTTCCTCAGAGGATAATTTCCCAATATACACGAAGAAATAGGAATATTCTAGAAAGCACGAAGAATTTCTACACTCGTCTTCTTCTAGAATGGGTAAAGTGGATATCTACATTTGTTTAAAATTAGTTAACTTATAAATCTTGATAGGGACTATACATTCTTGGAGAAAAATAATTACAACAGAGAACTTCTCTAATTGAGGTCATTTAAGGAGGATTTGGAAGTCTAGATTCTTTATAGAAATAGAAAAGGAGGTCCAAAATATTCAAACTATCTTTTCTCTCTTTCTCGTCTTTTGAGATTTTTTTTGTGTGGCAGATTCTGCGTGCGGCTGCTGGATCAATCGTATGATAATTTAGAGATCTTTTGCATAACATTAAGGCTAATTTCAAAATAACCAAAGTCAAAATATGAAATCTCATGAAGATCAAGAACTTGTCATACAACACCATGAACAATAAAATGTTCAGCACCGATTTGCATGCAGAAACTTACATATAATTTGAAACATTATGCTTAATCTGTCTCGAGCTTAAGTATACAGGATCCAAGAATAGAGGAAATCTGTTCAAACTTCAGTTCCTTGAGAAATTTAACTATGGCAAATGTCTATGCAGTGCTCTTAGCTAACCAAATATATATAAATAGTGGCGATATGGATAGATAGCCACAATCAATCACATGCACACACACGCATGCACACACATGATATATGAAAAGGACATTGTACAGTATACATGATATATATAAAGTAAATCAGCACCGAGCTTACCTTTAATGTGATGATTATCTCATTGAGAATCAGAAATGCCTTATTGTCCACATTCTTATCATTTTTCTACAAAAAATAAAGAAATAAAAATTAAAAAATTAAAAAATATTCAAGGACCAAGGTTAAAGAAAACACATTGCCTATCAAAATGAGGTCTTGAAACTAAACCAAGGACGTCATGACTGCTGACATAAATATAGGATGCTGACAGAAGACGATCCATGTATCATAACAGGAAGACCTTTGGAAATTCTATTTTTGGGAAAAAATGGAGTTTCTACAAAGGGATTTTTATTATTTCATTTCTCTATTTGTAAGTTAATTAGGCTTGACAAAGTCCAACAAATAACCCATTGTTAACTCAGCTAATATAGCTGTGGTGGTACTTAGCGGGTAGGTATACCAGTAACGTATGTCATGGATCTTTCAGATGTACCGCATCAATGTCCTACATCACACTGATTTGTACATTATACCAGAATAACCTTGTTGATAACACCTCCTTCCACTCCCTTCAAACCTCAACAACCCAACAATCCCCACCCCACTCTGTATAGTCTGGCAAGGCCAAAGGTTTCCTAAAAAAGGGAAGAACCCAGGTTACTTTTTCGAATGTTAAATCTCCCTCAGGTGGTCAACCATTTCGTCAGATGTTAAAGAGTTGACTAATTTGCCAAGTCTGTAGTTCTTCTAAATATATATTATGAAAGGAAAAACAATCTCATCTATGAAGACGAGTAAATCTGGCCTTGAATCTAAAATTTCTCTCTTTCATTGGTTTAGCTTGTGTGTACAATTTATGTTGCAGAAAAAAAAAAGAGAGAGTTTATCTCAATGTGCGACAACCCTTCAAATCCCACCCAAATAACAAATTATATTATGAGAAAAAGAAGGCAAACACAAGACATTTAAAGATATATAAGTTTGTTAAACAGAAAAACAGAATGTTCAATGCAGAATCTCTAACCTGTAGGATATGAACCAATAAATAATGCAAACATAAGAAGCGGTTTTTAATGGCATCACTGTCGGCTGAAATCTTTACACTGAAAAGAAGATCCATCAATTCATCTACTCGAATTTCGAAAAACCAACTGTGTACCTGCACCACAAAGAATGTGAGTAGGTAAGTAGACATTATAATCTTCAAACAATTAGTCCTTTCTGACCTCTAAAATTCTATTCAATGCATAATATGCTTCGATATGGCAGGTTCCATCTGTATCCTGCAAATGAAATAAAACAAGTGCTTTAAATAATCTGTTGCATAAGAAAAATAAATTTCTCATACTTGAAAATGTAGTTTATCAGACTCAACCAGCAAAGATGTAAAATATACCAATAAGTTGGACTTTATAAAGCTGAAGATTATATTAATCAGGTCTTCATCAGCTGTCTCAACAAAAGATGATGCCAGCTCCATGATCAAGCACCTGCAATGACTAAGTTTCCTCGTAATCCTTCTAGTAAGTTTAATAATGAATAAAGAAGCATGACTTATAAGAAACTATGCAAGCAATTTAGGATGTAAGGCTAAACTAGTATAGCTCAAAAGCAACTAATGCACATCCAGGTAAATTTGCACAAGACCAAAATCAGTAACATACTAGCACATTACCTGTACTAGTCATGAAACCGATTGTTTAAGCTGAAACTGATGTGATTTTAGGTTTCATAATTTTTAGCTTTGTTCAGAAGTTAATTTGATTATCAGCTTGTGCAAGTAATTTGCTAATTATTATGATTTGAATGTAGTTAGTATCTGTTAGATTTCTTCATTTTTGACTGACAGAATTATACTATTTAGCTGGTCATTTTAGATTAAGATCATGTCTTGTCTGTTCTCTTAAGCCTATAAAAAGGGTCGAAGAGTTTGTTTCACTGTGGTTAAATTAATTTGGTCCAACCTCTTTCTCTGTTCTCATACTTCTACCAGTTTGCACATATTTGGTATTGAACCCCTATCTGAAGTTTCTTTAGCAACTTTTTTCTGTATTATGCCCACGAGAAACAGACTTTTCTCTTCTTACTCTGCCAAATACTTGCTTGCATTAACAGAAGGTTGGTAACCTAGAGGAAAATTTGACAATCTTTACAGTCTAGTTCAAGAGAGGGTTTCCCTTGCTTTCCAACAGTCATCTTTAATTGATAATGTGTTTGATTGCATCGAGAAACTCATGAAGAGAGGTTTTCCACTTGAATCATCTCCCCATCCCCTCCTACCAACATTCTGTTAAGATTTGGAGAGAAAAGAGTTTCTTGGAGAGTCTTCCCCTCACTCTATACTTTATTATTTATAGAGATGAGTTAGTTACAAATTAGTCTCACAGGCAATGTGAGACTAAACTAATGCTAAACTAATATTTATACTCTCTTCTAACACTCCCCCTCAAGCTGGAGCATATACATCATGCATGCCTAACTTATCATAAATAAAGTCAACTCACGTTCGACCAAGTGGTTTTGTAAGAATATCTGCCAACTGATGTACTGTCGATACATGTTTTGCCGTGATGATTTTGTCCTCAAGCTTCTTGCGGATTACATGACAGTCGACTTTAATGTGCTTAGTTCTCTCATAAAACACGGGATTCTCAGCAATGTGAATTGTTGCTTTATTGTCGCCAAATAGACTCATGGGACATTCTGGAGGGAGACCAATCAATAGGTCTCTAATCCAAATCATCTCTAGTGTCACATTTGTCATAGCTCTGTATTCTGCTTCTGCACTGGATCGAGACACAACACTTTACTTCTTACTCTTCCATGACACCAGATTTCCTCCGAGAAAGACACAATATCCAATAGTCAATCTCCTATCAAAAGGACATCCAGCCCAATTTGCATCAGAGAAACCTACAATTTTGGTGTCCTTGATCTGAATAGAGAATTCCTCGTCCGGGAGCCTTTTTTAAGTACCTCAAAATTCTCATTACTACATCCAAATGAGTAGTTCTTGGTGCGGACAAGAACTGACTCACAACACTAACCGCGAATGTGATGTCAGGTCTAATTACCGTTAGATAATTCAGTTTCCCCACCAATCTCTTATACTGCCCAACATCATCAAGAAGTTCCCCTTGTTCTGGTAGTAGTTTTGAGTTCACATCCATTGAAAAATCACTGTTTCTACACCCTAACATTCTGACTTCAGAGAGCATATCCAAGACATACTTCTTTTATGATAGAAGAATACCCTTCGTTGACTTTGCAACTTCAATGCCTTGAAAGTATTTTAGGAAACCAAGATATTTGATTTGAAAATGTGTCTGCAAATACTTCTTCAGGCTGTCAATACCAGAAGTATCATCCCCTGTAATTACAATGTCATCCACATAGACAACTAGCAGAATTTGTTTCTCATTCTGAAATCGCTAGAAGACAGAGTGATCTTTTTGTGCACAACAAAATCCAAATTCCTGAATAACCGATGCAAAATGTACAAACCAGGCTCTCGAAGACTGCTTCAAACCATAGAGTGATTTCTTCAGCCTACACACGTTCGCATTCTTCCCTTGAGCAACAAAACCTGGTGGTTGCTCCATGTAAACCTCCTCATCTAAAATACCATTAAAGAATGCATTCTTGATATCCAACTGATGAAGTGGTCAGTGATTTGTCACTGCTAACGAAACAAAAATCCAAACAAATGTCTACCATCGTAGAGAAAGTATCTATGTAATCCAAGTCATACACCTGTGAATAGCCTTTAGCAACCAATCGGGCTCTCAGGCGTGTCAAAGTTCCATCAGGATTCAACTTGATAGTGTACACTCATTTTCCGACAGGTTGCTTTCCTGGTAAAAGTGGGACAAAATCTCAAGTCTCATTCTGCTGCAAGACACTCATTTCGTCCTGCATCGCTTGGTTCCAATCTGAAATAGACAGGGCTTCTGCCACATTATTGGGAACCAAATATGAGTCGAGGGAAGTAACAAAAGATTGAAAGGTAGAGGAGAGGCGATCATAGGAGACAAAGTGAGAAATATGATGTTGAGTGCAAGTTCGTGTCCCTTTCCGAAGTACAATAGGAAGGTCTTCCATAGAAGGGGGTAAATTTGCACTTACTGATTTAGGTTCTTCGGGCAGAGGACGTGGTGCTGAGACCGACGTTGGCACAGGAGCAGGAGCAGAGCGACGATGATAAACTTGAATTGGGTCGTTAAACCGAACCGAGTCTTTGTCAGTAGCGCAAATAGTATTATCAGCGAATGAACCACCACCGTTAATTAATGACTCTTGTAGGATTAAATAATCATACTCATCCGGTGATAATGGAGATGGATAACTAGAATGACTGGGTTTATCTTCAAAAAATGTTACATCAACAGATAACACAAGATGATTGAGTGACGGACAGAAATACTTGTAATATTTATGCTTTCAAGAGTATCTAAGAAAATACCTTTAATCGACCGAGAGTCAAACTTTTGTTTATTCAGACTATGATTATAAACAAAGCACGGAGAGCTAAAAATCTTTGGATGAAGCGGAAAAAGATCATCGTTAAGTAAAGAATTTTGAAAGGAATTTTATCTTACAGAGCAGAAGAGGGCATTCGATTAATCAAGTAACATGCTGTTAAGATAGTTTCCCCTAAAATTCTTTGAGAACGCAACGATGGAATAGCAAGGTCCGAGCAATATCAAGGAGATGTCTATTCTTTCGTTCAGCAACTCTATTTTGCTTAGGAGTGTAAACACAAGAAGACTAATGAATGATTCTATGTTGTTCAAGAAAACTAGTTTAGTTGTCATCCAAATATTCCTTTGCATTAGCAGATAGAAAATTTTTTATCGAAATCTTGAATTGATTGACTATTTCATAATAAAAGAGTTTAAATGTAGAAAAGACTTCAGACCTAGATTTGAGAAGATAAATTCAGTAACACAAGAGTGATCATCCACAAAACTGACAAAGTATCGGAATCCCAACTTAGAAGTTATTGGGTATGACCCCTAAACATCAGAATGGACAAGATCAAATGGTTAGCAGCCCTCTTTGTAGGCTGTCTAAAAATCACAATAGATAGCTGATCCCCATCAAACACCGATGATGGAAGTTACAATCTGACGACTGCCAGAAGGTTACAATTTGAAGACTTTCACGTAGATCGCTAAAGGTTACAATCTGACGACCTTCACGATAACTGATGGAAGCTCTAATCAAACAGCCTTCATAATCAACATCGGGAGTTACAATCTGACGACTCTCATATATCAGAGAGATAAAGCAAAGATTACAAAATGACGATCTTTACAACGCTTCGACAGAAAGAGTCTACAAATCGACGGTCTCTTCAAATCAAACTGTGGAAGTCCTCCCCGCACACCAGCATCAAGACGTATCGCGTTCATAGCCACGAACGCAGCTCAACGCAGCTCATACCGCAGCTCAACGCAGCTCCAACCGCTGATCAACGCAACTCCAACCGTTGATCAACGCAGCTCCAACCGCTACTCAACGCAGCTCCAAGCGCTGCTCAACGCCCGCTGCCAAACGCAGCTTTCATCCGCTGCAAACGCAGCTTCCAGTCACTGCGTTCAAGCTTCTAGACACTGCGTTTGGACACATAATTCATGCCAGAACGCGGGCCTGCGTTTGACTCGTTCAAACACGAGCTGAACGGTTCCAAAACCGTTTCCCACGATCTGAGGGGATCACAACTCCACTCAGGAGTGATTTAAGGGGCAGTTACATCCCATTAGCCCCACTTAGGAGCGAATTAAGGAGGTTGTTACACCCCTTAATCCCCTATAAATAACTGAAAATCAATTCAGTTCAGGGTTCGGGCGGTCGGTTGGAACTTCTTGGCAGCAACAGAAGAGATCCTCGAGGTGGAATCTTTGGGGTTTCGGTTCTGATCCTTCGGCTGGGACTTGGCAGCGAAAAGAGGATCATTCATCCTTCGGTTGGAGCTTTGGAGATCGGCAACAAGATCTTCTTCATCCTTGGCTTATAACCGACTTTCGGTTAAATCAACTCTTTCATAGAGTTTTAAACTCGTTCAGAGTTCTCCACAACGTCAAATCGTGAGGAGAAGATCACGTTTCAGTGAAACAAGATATCGGATCGTCAACGAGAAGCAAACTCGACGCGAGCATTCGAGGGAGGCATCTCATCGCCACCGTGAAGAACCCAGAATTAAACAAAGGGGAGAATCCAGATCATTCTCTTCTCTTTTGTAATCAGGAAATCCAATTGTAACTGAGATTAAAGGAATACAAATCAATTTTCCTTCATTTCTTTTTATTACAAATTTTCCACAAACACTCTTATTGACTCGATTAGAATAAGACACGATGATGTTTGCCAAGTTGACACGACTCACACTCTAATGAGGAAAGAGATTTGAACTGAGGATTTAGAAGCTTGAGAACAGAGAGAGAGGGATGCCCTAGCTGACAGTGTCATTGTAGAGCTGATGAGTTTC